TTAAGTTTGTTAAATCCCCTTCCTCATGTGTATGGGAGTGAACAGAGGAGCCCAGGCTGCTGGGAGAAGAGTTGCAGAGGTGGGAGCAGGAAGCGTAGACCAGGAAATGCATCAACCAGCTACTTTAGGTGCCTTTCTCTGCACCTTTAGTCAGGAAAGATAACGCAGGGCAAAAGGAGGGATGTCCATTTGGGAGCTTGTTAAGGCAGCCGTGGGAGCTGCTGACTGCTGTAAGGGGGCACAATCTGTCTTGCAGGGCTACGTGTGCTTCAAGCCCATGGAGCAGCATGTGTGCTACCTGAAGAGCATGGACTCCTGGGACCTCCAAGCCCTACAGACACCTCTCAACACGTCTGAGCAGAGAGTGAGCAGCGGCTGCGGCCGTTCCTGGGGCAGCTGAGTGGTCAGGGGTGATGAAGTGGGCTTTGCACAGAGTCCTGCCTTGCTGAAGGCCCTTTCCTGCAGGGATCTGGGTTTGCAGTGCTGTCTCTAACACCAGCATCCCAAACGTGGCTAAACGAGGGCACAGGCTCTCCCAGCCCACGGCAGCAGGAGCATTTCACTGCTCAGTGCGGCTGGGCTGGTGCCTGGCACAGCAGCAGAGCTCTGCCTTGGAGGGCTCTGTATGAGCTCAGAGCAACAGCTCCTGCTTTTACAGATATCCAATCTGTGAGAAAGAGCAGAGCTGCACTTGGGAAGGGGGGGATATGTCCCATGAGGTGAATAGCAGGGCTCCCGCAGGACCTGCTCCCACTGGGTTCTGTTACCTGCTCAAAAATCCAGGGAACAAAAAACAAAGGGGGTTTGTTAGCAACTCAGGGGGAGGAAGGTTGGAGTAGAGCACGTACACAGACCCTCTGAACTAAATGCTAATGGATGCATGGGCAGGGGGCAGATTCTGTTTCAAGAAGACAGAAGGCCCCATGGTTTCATGCCCCTGTCATCTGCTCTCCGTTTCCTCGGGGGCTCCTGGGGGCTCCTTGGCTGCTGTAGTGCTTCACCCAGAGCAGTGAAGGAGCACAGCACCCACCAGGGCAGGCTACCAAAGGGGTTGCAAAGAGGAGAAAGCATCTGCTTGGCTCTGAGGCTCCTTAAGGGAGGTCAAACAGTTGGTGGTGCCTCTCCTGGCCACCAAATGGCCTGTGTGTCCCCTGCTCCCCCAGCTGCAGGGCCAGGAGGGACAAAGTGCCTGGGGAGGAACTAACAGGGACGTTTCTTCTAGGCTGATCAGCTGCTACGTCTGAATAACCAGACCAAGTACTACCAGGAGTTCCTGGGTGTCCTGGCAGGGGGAGAGGTGGACCCCAGGGGCGTGGGGGAGGCTGTGCAGACCCTGTGTGAGCAGACACCCATCTTCTGGGTCAGGAGAACCGAGGGTGAGTTGTGTGTTTGTTTCCCTTCGCACAAGAGGGAGGTGTGGTTGTTCTAGTACCTCTCAGAGGAGCAGGTTGGGCTGTGCAGAAGCTGATGCATGTCCTGGGATGGGCTGCCAAGGGACAGGTGACCTCTAGTTCAGAATCAAACCATTGTTAGTGCTCACCAAGGGCTGGCTCGTACCCACAGCCTGCAGTGAACTGCCTGGCAAAGGCTCTGAGGCCCCTTCTCCGACTGTTTGTGCAGCCACAGAGCAGTCCCCTGCACTGCTGGTGGCTCAATGCTTGTCACCTCCATCCTCACCAGAGCAGCCTCCTGAGCTCTCATTCTGTTCCATCTCACTCCAGCTTTAATGGGAAGGGTCATTCCTGGAGGCTCTGCTTGGCTGGCTCCCCAGCGACTACAGGAGCATTGCGCTCACCCCGCTTCTGTCCTTGCTCATTTGGCAGGTCCAGGGAAGCAGCGCCTGATCTACCTTTGCATTGACATCTGCTTTCCAAGCAACATTTGCGTGTCTGTCTGCTTCTATTACCTCCCTGAGTAAGTCCTGCAGCCGCGGATTCCCCTCTACATACTTGAACTGGATTCCAGAGAAGCCTCCGATTCCAACAAGGAAGGTAACAGCCCCACCAGCCCCCAGAGCTTCCTGCTCTCATGCCGCTGGCAAGGACTGTTTAGGGAATGACCACGACTCTGCAGCACTGTCAGCACAGACACTTTATTTGCAGCTGTGCTCAGGGCTGCACTGTGTATGTAGGTATTAGGGCATCCAGACCTAGAGGCATTTTGTGGAGGAGCTCGTGTTACAAGGCTCCAAGCCCTGCTCACCACAAGGTTATTACACTTGTTGGGGGGTTGGCTTTGTACCAGTGCAGCTCTCCAAGCGGGTCTGTGACATACACTTTGAATAAAGGGATTGCAAACCAAGGAACCAGCTGCCTCTCCTCTGCTCAGCCTCTCCCAGCATTTAGAAAGGCTGATTTATTTTCCCCACTTTGGGATACAGGAACATCACAAAGCTGTCAGCAGCTGATTCCACAGGGATTCCTCCAGCTGACTGCACCCCGCTGCCCTCGGTGGGATCCTGCCTCCCTCTCCCATTCCCTTTTGTCCAAGCAGCCTTCCTTGGAGGCCACATGTGTCTCAGTGATGATGTGCTCGGAGCTGCAGCCTGGTCCCACCAGGGCAGAGGCAGCTGCTGCTCCCAGAGACTGAGCCCCCCACCAGAGGAGGGGATGGTGGTTGCAGGTCGAGTCTCGGGCTCCAGAGAGGGTGTTGCCACTGCAGGACAAGGGACACCAAGCAGAGGTCCTCTCCTGCCACACGTGGCCGTTAGCCCAACACACTGTCGTTGAAGGCCAGGCAGACAACTGCTTTCTGGTGGCCGCTGTATTCCCTCTTGATCTCTCCTGTCTCCACGCACCAAAGTCTGGCCAGGTTGTCAGAGGAGGCTGGAGAGAAAGTGAGAAGACGAGTGGGGTAAATTGCATTAACCTTTACACTCACTTTTTAATTACTATTACAAGACTTTCCCCTTGCTTCATTCAACACTATTATTAGGACAACAGGTAAGGGAGCTGTGCAGAGCAAGAAGCTGGGTGCATTTGTGTTACACAAGGGTTTACTTCTCACTGTGGAAGTTACAACATGTGTTTTGAAGGGACGCTCATGCTGGGTACTGCAAGCAGCACTGGTACCAGGTGAAACAAACTGCACACGTGAAGAACATCCCTCCAGTTTAAACAGACGCCCTGTTGCAGCACAGGGAGTTAGTAGACACTTAGAGGAGTTAGGAAATGCTTAAGAGAGTTAGCAGACACTTAAAAGTAGAGGCTTAAGGGAGTCAGTGGATGCTTAAGGGAGTTAGTAGACACTTAAGGGAGTTAGCAGAGTGTGTTGTGGGTGTGAGGCTGGGTGCTCTCCTCACGCGTGCTGGTGCAGGAGGGTTTGGCAATGTCCCAGCTACAGAAACGGGTGAGCCCTGTGCTAGTGCAGGCGGCGCAGCAGGGCCTCACCTGTGACGATGTACTGGGAGTCCCCGGAGAAGGCGCAGTCCCACATCCAGCCCCGAGACGTTTCTCCTGGGTTATTGCTCTTAATGCTCAGCTCCGTCATCAGTGAGAAGTTTGAAGTCCTCCAGATCTTGCAGGTCTGATCTGCAGAACACGTAGCCAAGAGCCTGCAAGGAAGAGACGTGAGGGCAGCCTCATTAGTCACACTGCATGCCTAGGGGCCTCTTGCTAGCTTGGGCCTGGACCAGTAACGAACTGGAAAACTGAGCTCATTGCATTCACATTTGTTTACACCTACATCATCTGCTGGATAAGCTTTGAGCTGAACAGGGCTGGTGAAGGAGGACACCAAGTTCCCCACTTTGCTCCTGGAGATCAGCAATTCAACCCCAGCTTTAAAAACAGCTCCTGGCCACAAAGCTTGTTGAGATCACGGAGCACGAGGCTGGGATGGCACTGACAGCAACTCAGTGCCAGGTCCCGCTCCTCCCTGGGGACGTGCAGGGCTGCATGGAGCCAGCACCAGCCACATCTGGAGGCACAGCTGGCCTCTGCCTGCCCAAAAGGACCACCATCTCCCACCGCTGGTGGGCGAGGGGCTGCAGCACTCACGTGGAGTCGGGGCTGAACTTGCACTGAAGCGCATAGCGGTTGTGCGCAGGGATCTTGGTCTTGGGGATCAGCTGAGTCACCTCCTCCCCGATGCCACCCGTCAGGTTCCACACGTAGCAGTTTCCCTGTGGGGACACAGGGGGTGATGGTCGCTCACCCCAAAGCAGCCTGGACTTCCCATGTCCAACCCCAGCCACGCTGCAGAGCCGGTACGTGCAGCTCAGCAGCCACTGGAGCACCACCAATCCCCCCATGCCGGCCGCTGCTGGGGCTCACCGAGCTGTTCACAGCTGCCATGTAACTGGCATCGGGGTCAATGTGAACGGAATTCACGGAAACTTCGGGCTCCGGAATCAGCTGCTCGTTGTGGTCGGTCTTCAGGTCCCAGATGTGAATGGCGCCGCTCTGATCACCCACAATCAGCTCTGCCTGCAAGAGAGCAGCAGCGTCGTGCCTCTGAGGAGCACCCCGCAAGCAGCAGCCTCAAGCTGATGCTCAGATCGTGTCTGTGCAGCCCCACGTGGAGCCTTGCTCCAGTTTTAAGCACTGTGGGCCTGCTCTGCCTCATTGTTCCGCAGCACAGGACTGCTTCAGAGCCGCGGCAGCCTGCTGAGTGCCTGTGCGCTGAGGGCAAGCACAGCACTAACCTCGCACTGCAAAAAGGCTGTTCACCTCTGCAGGAGCATTTGCTCATTTTATATACCCCAGAGCAGACAGAAGCTGCCTCAATTCCAGAACCTTTGCACAGCTCCAGCAGCTTCCACAGAAGCCAAAGGATTTTCAGCACGTCCCAGGCGCGGGCATTAAGATGCAAGTTGGCCAGTGAACAACCGAAGCACTCAGGAGTGTACAAATACCTGAAAACCACCAGCCTAAATGGGCTTTTCTCCCTCCCTCCCCTTCTCAGGGGAAAGACAAGAGGCAGCTGAAGGGCAGAGTTCTGGCTCCACTCCCATGCTCGGAGCAGAAGACCATGCTGGCAGCTCTCCACTAACCCAGGGCTTTTATTGACAGTCTTGTACTGTCCATAGCTTCAGCCCTACAGGAGACAAGGTCACAGGAGCAGCTACTCCTGTCCCCCGAAGCAAAGGCTGGTTCCCAAGGAACACAAGTCTATTTATAGCTGACAGTTTGGAGTCTTTTCTGGGTACCTCGAGACCCAACTCTCTCTTAGCAGGTGTAAGTGCCATTGCTAAATTCATCACCACTGTACCCAGGCTGTGAGAAGCCTCCCATCAGCATCAGGACAACAGGGAGTTGCAGAGGGATGAAGCTATCAGCACAAACACTGCCACCTTTGGACTAACTGCCTTCTGCTCACAGACAGCACCTCAGCAGCACCTTGGTTAGTGATTATTTCATGTGTAGGATCTATGTACAATGATAATGCTTGGCTTTAACATTGTACATTCATGCAGCACCGGCTCTATAGGAGCATCAGCAGCGTTTGGGTAAAGTGTGATCCAAATAATTGCTCTCCAATCGGGTCTGAAATTCCAGCCTTGAAGATTAAACCTTTTCAAGATCAAATGCAAAGAAACGTTTCTGTTACTTGGCTGTTCAAAAAGGTTTGTGCTGCCGTGTCTGCGAACACAAAATGGACCAGATGGGTTATTAACACCGCGATGGTACCACCATCATCCCCTCCAGTGCCCTGTGCTCCAGTTTAGCCTCGTTTCTCGAGCCCTGGCCACCCCTCTCTTCATCAGCCAAGTGGTGAACACAAACCTCAAGCAAACCTGACCCAGTCCCGATGGTAACTGCAGCCCTGGGATGCTTTTCTTGGCAGCAGTGCCACCCTCCCCTCCCCATCCCACCACTTCCACCCCAGCATATCCCCTCAGTTACATCCATGGAGCAGACAGCACCACAGGAGTGGGGACACTCCTGGTGCTGCCACTCCGCTGTCCCTTTGCAACAACCACCAGGTAATGAGCACAAACGTGGCTGCTCCAACGTGGGTCTGTGCCACCAGGTCTCGTGCTGGGGCTGCCATATAGAACTCCACAGGCCCTCAGGTCCACCCGGGGGAGCAAGAGCAAAGCCTGGGCTGGGAAACCACAGCGAGACTGGTGCTCACCTGGTTGGGGTGCAGGCACACGCAGTTAATGGGAGCGTTCACCTGGAAGATGCGCTGGCACTGGAGGTTACGAGACCTGCAAGAGAACAGCGAGGAAGGAGCAGGGTTAAGAGCGTGTGCTCAGCCCCACGGCCTTTGGGATGCTGCTGGTGGCGGTGGTGCCGCCTGTGCCCACCTGAGGTCCCAGATCCTGGCCATGCAGTCCTCCCCGCCCGTGTACATCCACCGCCCGTCCTCGTGGAACCCCACCGACGTGATGTTCTTGCTCACGCCGTCGTAGTTGATGACGGGGTTGGGGTTGTTGGAGTTGAGGTCGTACATGCGGATGTGCTGGTAGCCTGCGGCAAGGAGCGGGCAGGGGG